GAGATGGTTTAGTGTGAGGTGTCCCTGCCCATGGCAGGGGGGTTGGAACTTGATGATCTTAAGGTCCTTTCCAACCCTAACTATTCTGTGATTCTATGATTCTAAATTCTGACTCACCTTTGGTAGCGAGCAGTGCTGTGATGCTTTAGGATGGATAAGCCAGTGGTTGATCACGTCTCCTTTTGTAACCTTCAAAACCCCTTTTGTAACCTTCAAAATGAGTTCAGGAAGAAGCATCGGCCATTGAGGAAGGCACCATGTGATGCTACACCTGCTGAATCAGGTATTTCACCCTATAATAAATCCCATCTAGAGTCAGCTGTTTCTAAATTGAAAAACAAAGGAGTAAAATCAAGTGTGTACAGTCAGGTGTGTTAGGTACCACCTTATATGTCTAGGGTGCTATCTTAAGAAAACAATAAGCTGTCAACTACTGGAAGTTAAGAGATGAACTTGGTCACAGGGCCCAGGCACTAAATGAGAGAAGCTGACAGGGATGATTAGTGGGGGAAGGTACCAGTATCACAGGCTCAATTCTATAAAAATATGCCATCCCAGAGGGCTTTTCTGTAGCATTCATGATAGCAGTGAAGCAGTTAAGTGAACCAGTGCTGAAGGACAAAGTGAATTCTGCTCCTAAATCTATGAGTTGCGGTGTTGTTTGTTTGCACAGGAGGTTTCTGAAGCTACTGCTTTATGACTCCTGCAGTGCTTTTCTCCATTTGAGGCTGCGAAACCCTGTAATTCACTGCCTTTCCCTGTTCAGCAACTTCTCCTTGCTTAGAGCCAGTAATGGGGTTTGCCAGGAAAATTCAACAGCGTTAAGGGACACAATTTCTTCTTCCAAACACAGGCCTTTTCAGAGAATCTGTTTTAAAGCAGTAATGGAGATGGTAGTGGGTCCAAAGCATTTCAGGACCCCCCAAAATCAACATTTTGTGGCCACATTCCCACAGCTGCAGGGTGTCACACTGTACCTGTCCCTTACCAAGGCTGTCCTTTAACACTGGGCTGTTTGTCTGTTGGTTTAGGACTCCCGAATCAATCTCTCAGAAGGCTGTGACATATGAAACCTTAAAAAAAACAAAAACCCACTCAGTTTCAGCACCTAGGACTGACAAGAACTTTCTTCTGACTATGGTTCATATGCAAGTCTCTTACTTGATTCGCTCAGCAAAGAACACGGTGACAAATGAGTCTTCCACCACATCACGTCTCCCAGCCTAATCATTCAGGACTCCCAAAAGCTTAAGGCATCCGCCACTGAAAGATATAAGAAAACCAGTTCTTTAGCAGCCAAGAGGCCCAGCAGATCTCCCACCCTTCACTGCCTGAACTTGCAGAACTCGTTCTGGTCTAACATGAAGATTTTTCCATGGACAAGCTGTCAGCTCCCTTCTCACACATGTTGGGCTTCAGCTGAGGGCACTGCTGGTGCCTTTATCCAGCAGTGTTTAAGTACCAAGCTGGTCACAGTCTACAAAACCATGAGAGAACGGACTGTTCCCTGGAAGTGCTACCCCAGACACACATTTGGTGGATTGATTCTGCTGTTAGCACATTGAAAGAAATGGGAAAACTTCTTCCCTTAGCATCTCCCCTTCACTTGCCTGAAGGAAAAGAGGGATTCCCATGGTGTCATACACAATTCAGGCTATGCAAGAGTGGACATCGAAGCAGACAGGGTGCAGTAGTTGATCTGTACATCCTCTCTTGGCCGTACAGCACCTTCCACCATTCTTTCTTTTGACATCTTCAGCCTGTGAGTGTCTTGAGTGTGTGCAGTTACTTACTAAGATGCCAGAGCCATTACGTTAGTACTACAGAAAACAAAATAATTCACACAATGGTTCATGAAAAAGGCACTGAACAGATATTTCCAGACCCCATGGCATAGCCTGCACTGAAAATTATGTCAGACTCTTGGTTTAACTTTCAAGTTTAACCTCTCTAGGAGGTTTGCCTGCTTGTGCAATAGCATTCTCCTGAGATTACTAAGTCTTGTGCTATTATGCTGTCCTGAGTAGACAATACTGAAAGATATCTGATACTGTCAGGTTGGTTATTTTCTATAAAGTTTTATTGTTATGTAAAGGAAGCATTTGTTTTCCTTCCCTAAGACTTTTCCCTTCCTGCTCCAGTTTGGTTAATTGAATGTTACCAATTTCATTGGTATCTGGCTTTAGAATGCCAACAAAATATCTGACATCTGTCAGCAAAACTCTGACTGTTCTCACAAAGCACTGTTTCTGTGAGATATTGTCAGTGACACATTCCCTGCCTTGCTGAGCTTCCAGGTAAAACCTACATATTTACAGAAGCTTTTGGGGTCTTTGGTATTGTAGCACGCTAAAATACAGCCATCTGGCAGTAATTAGACCTGTCAATAATTACTGGGAGCTGAATGAACTGGGAAGATGTAAACAGAGGCTTGTAAATGCCTCCTCTATTTGTCACAGCAAAGTAACATGTAGGTCTATTGGCTGAGACCAGCAGTGCTCCCCTGCCAAGAATGAGCTGGTTAACTCGGCTGGATGCTGAGCTGGCACACAGGGGCTGCTCCCAGGGCTGCCTCTGCAGTGCCCAGGACCTTCAGCCTTCCAACTGGAATCACGGTGATACTATAACCATCAAAAATAGAAGGCTGGTAAGGATGCTCTGCCACACTGAGGAGTTGCTGCTATAGCTTCACAGGAGGACTCCCCAGCACGATGGATCCTCAAGGGAGCGGTTACACGAGCTGTAACACAGCTGTTTGTAGATACCAGAGCTATATAACTGCCTGCACATGGGTGGGAATCAGGGCATGGGAGTCTCTGTACAGCTGCGAGGAGCCTCCTCCTGGGAGGCTGGAGGAGGTGATGATGGGTAGAGAGGCTGTGTATGGCTGCACTGCTTCCAGAGGCTGAGGTGCTCTGCTGTTCATCTAAAGCTCAGATGGACAAAGCCTGACAGCTCTGGATATTGAGGGTATGTCTTGAGTCAGAGCCAGACAATGGAAAATAGAAAACCAGAATTCAGACTCTCTTCATGTGTCCTCCCACCATGGAGAGGGAAGAGCCCAGCAAGGACAACTTGAATGTCCAAATTTCGGGCGAAGGAGTGAAAACAAGGGTGCGAATTGTGATTTATTGAAGTCTGAAACACAGCTTTGAGCTGCACTCAAAGCTTAAGTTTGAAAACTGAAGCCCTCTGCACCTTTAGGGGGGTGATTCTGATAGTGGTTAAACAAACCTGCTGGCAAAGCAAATAGCTGCAGATTTTCATATCATTTTGCCAGCTACCCGGTGGTTTATTGGAGCAATCCAGCCCTCACATACAAACAAGTGAGAAGCAGTTCAGCCTTTGCACAGTTCATCATATTCTCTCCCCACGACTTTTATCTCTCGGGCCTGAGATTTGTTAACCTCGTGTTGCTCAACACACACATGAAACCTGCAGTTGCTGCTCCAGCTAAGCTGAGCATTTCAGCAGCTCATCCTCCTCCCAAACCGTGTGAGACTTCCCAAGCCTGAGCAATTTTCAAAGCTCATCTTGGGTGCAGCTAAACACAATGTGTCACATTTTCATTCTGACACCCCCCGATGCCTGGCCCTGATACAGATGAAATGGCTTTTCTGAGTCAAGTTTCACCCCGAGTTTTTGCAGGTGGAGACCCAAGTGTATTTTTACACATTGGAAACTAAGTAAGTAACAGTCTTAAGGGTGAGTCTGCGGGGTTTTACACAGCTCCACCGTGCCTCGATGTTTAAGGCTTTCACTGTCATTATTCAAAGAAACTTGGGCTGCAAATTCCAGTTAATCCAGTACAAATGCAGAGTATATTCATGGACCATCACTCACCCTTATAAGCAAAATACAGGGTGCAGGGACTCCTATAACCTTGGATAAAAAATTGTGTACAAAATGCTGCAGCAAAGAGCATCTGCCAGTGAAGAGGCCTCGCTAGCAACATCCATGATCTGATCTGTCTCTTCTACACACCAGCAATCTGAGCTGGGCAACGCAAGCACTGTCTACTCATGAGAAAGAGCAAAGCTCCTTCTGGTGTGTGAGCCCCTTTGATAAAACCTTTTTAATTCAGCCCTCTAGGAAGCGAGTACCTCCAAGACTATTCGCTTATACGGCTTTGTCAGCAACACTCTCAGCGTGGTCATGGGAATTTCAGCAATCGATCAATAAGATAGGAGTTGGACTTGCTTATCTTTGAAAAAGAAGGAACTCAAAACCAAATCATACTGTATTCAACTAAATAGAGGTATTTGTGTGAGGTCTCATGTAATACCACGAGCAACAACAAATGGGCAGAGAAATACAAGAGGTAAGAATTTTTACAGTTTCTTAGGTAGTTCTAATGTACCGATGCTTTTGTTTGCAACTTCTTCAACAGGCTGAGGGAAAAAGGAATAAACCATTGACAGCTCAGACATCAGTGTTAGTACTGTTTGGCTGATGGAGTTTGCAAGGATGTATCACGCATGGTCTATACACCTCTGTGTCCATGTGAGGAAAGGCTTTCAGGCTTTCTCAAAGCACAGCCACAAAACAGAGTAAACAATGACCCAACCACTTTTAAAGAGAAAGATGCATACACTGATAATAATCAGATAATACGTGTGATGATGACTCCTATTAGACTTCAAATCAAAGATAATTCCTTTTATCCTTGTGTCATGTTGGCCTTTCTTTAAGACCCTTTCTCCCCAGAACACACGGTGTCCATATAAGCTAAATACTTCCCTGCCCCTGTGTCACTTTCCCCTTTCAAAATGCAGCACACTGATCAATAATGGGCCATCCAGCCCTCTATCCATGGAAAGAGCTTTACAGTAACTTTAAAGCTAAAATACAAGTTTGGGAAAAACCTAGAGTGCTCACAAAATTCTGTGAAAAATACTTCCATCTATTTACTGCCGCCTCTTGAAGAGGTCAGCCAAACCTGAAGATGCACATTACTGGAGATCCCTCTCAGCCTGGACAGCAGCAACCACGCACCTGGAAAGCTCATCTTCCTGAATGGGAAGTCTCACGTCAAGTTTTGCTTGGCTTCACTGATGAGCTCCATCCCCAGCACTTCATGCAGGTCGCACTACTGATGCTTCTTGTTTTGCTCCTGTTTCAAAGTTCACTGAGATTATTAAACCAAGAAAATAATGAAGAGAAAGTATATGCGAATACTTGCATTCATATATACATTTATATGTTTGTACAAGAGGAGTTTCCTGCATGAATTGAAAACCTCCTTGTAAACAGACACTGAATATTATAATAGAGAAATGCTTCAAAGGAAGGCTTACAGGGATGGGCTCAGTAGAAATTTATATTCAGTACCTAAAAGATGTTATTTTTCAGGAGGTGATGAAAAACAAATGCAAAATCCTTCAAATAAAACATTTAAACCACTCCTCATTGGAAAACCTTCACTAATACCATTGAGCCTAATTATTGTTAAATCCTAGCACTTTAATTTTGATCCTTCCTATCTAACTGATAAGTACAGCCTGCAGATTAATACCCACCACAGATACAAGAGCACCACGTTGGTCTGCAGGTAGCTAACACTCCATATGTGCTTTTTTCTCTCCTTTGCAGCCCTACCCGCTTTGAACGTGGTTTTTGTTACTGCTCTGTTTTGCAGCAAAGCATTGGCGTACGCTTGCTCTCCGAGCACGGCGTGGCCTCGCTGATTATATTAAACCCCTTACAAAGTGTTTGGTTCATTTGGTCTATCCATTTTTGCTGCCCAACAAAAGAGCCAAAATGAATGAATCAATTTTTAAAACAAATAGGACTTGACAGCAGGGACACAGATTTGTGTGAATGGCAAAAGGTGCCTAATTAAGAGCTCTAGAGATGACAAGGCTTTCATTTCTCTAATGAAAGGAGCTTTGTGAGCTTCCAAGTGGTACCCAGCTCCAGCAGAATGGATCTCTTCTCCAGGGAGAAAAAGACAATTTTTCATGCTTCCACTTAGTTACTGTTACCTATTTCACCTTCTGTGTGAAACTTGGGTCAAAGCTTGAAGGTGGCCATTGGTTTCCAAGCGGAGCAGATACCCAGAAGGGATGTTTTCCATTTCCAGGCAGCACAAAGTGACCATTTCTAAAACCAGACCTGCTCACCACGTTCCCTAACAGCCTGCCTGAACCACCTGGCATTTGCTCTCTACTTAGAGCCCAGTCCTTTCCTGTGTGTTCCAGTCATGATGGCAACACCGTGGGTGGATACAAACCTGATTAGCTAAGCACAGTGGTCTTGCAATAGTCTTCCTTAATAAAAATATACAGAACAGAAAGGGTTAATAAGTAGGATTGCATCGACTATTGCACTGCTATTAGGAAACCAGCTAGGAGGTGGCTCTAACCAACAAGCAACAAAGCTCGCTCTGAACACTGCTGCTCATTTGAAGTTCCCCAAGGGGAAAAGGCAGGGTGTTTCCACATTTGATCACTCCTTGTACAATGAATCTGGGCTTGTTTAATCCTTACCCACAGTGCACTACACGCATCTGCTTTAGAAGTACACTTGAGTATTTTAGGGGGTGCTAAAACAGAAGAGCGAGCCCTTAAAGCAGCACATTTATTTGGGTTTCTTTTGGGTTGGGGTTTTTTGTTTAAATGTAGAAACAGACCTTCATGTAAACTGGTTTGGCCTCCAGTTGCAGTGCTGTGCAGCAGCAGCCACTGTGTTTGTGTGGGGCTTAGGGGCAGGCACCAGGAAGAAGCCAAGCTGCTGAGTTTCCATCACCTTTGCAGTACTTTTAAACGCTTTTTGGAAACTCTAATAATACCAGCATCCAAACTGAGCCCCTGGTTTGCAGACAGAATTTAGCTGTGCTGTTCCATGAGCAGCATAACCCTGGGGGCAATCTTATTTACAGCCCCTGGATGAGGCTGGAGTGCTTCTTAGCCCAAAAGAGCACTTTGAAGTGCCTTCCTCAAGTTACTCATAGTCTTCTGACTGAGGCTGTTATTTAAGCCTCCATCACTCCTGATGATACTCTGTCTTCTTAATTCTTTTGCTTTAAAATGATATTATTCCAAAATAGCAAGGCCCCTTTATGTCCTGTATGCTCCTTGGCATGCACCAGTGCAGTGCATCTGGCATTGTTTTCTCCAGGAACAGCGATGCAGGGACCCACAGCAAAACCCTTAGAGTGGCTGCAGCCAAGCTAGATCAGATGTGGCTGAGGAAACTAGGAACAGAGTTAAAAATACTTTTATTCCTCCGAAGGGCCATGATTTAATGATAATCTGGGACAGGTTACAGCTATTTAGCACCATCTGCGTGGAATAAATCCTTGTGAAAGTGCATCCCAAAGTGCCTGTTTTCCACCACAGCACCGAGCAGCTGGCCAGCCTCAGGCAGAAGATAAATGGGACAGAGCCCGATGCAGAATATTTACATGGTGTGGACATATTTGTGTGGACACATTAGTCCATGCAGGTTAGCAGCAATGGGCGTTTTGTCCATTGTAGCCAACAGGAAAGGAGGCTCACACCTGACACCACCTCCTATACCTCTATAGGCACTAGGGAATCTGGACCGGTAGGCACAGACATCATGTTTGTACTTTAAGTCTGCCCTTATTCGTGACGTAAGAGAAGTATCTCAGTTGTGCCTAACCTTGAGAAGCAAAGAATACAAGCAAGTGGGAGAAAAAAATCATGTCTCCCATATGTAGTCACCAGATCTGCTGAGGCTGCAGAACCCAGCACAGAGCTTACTGAGAGGGTACAAATGAAATCTCCATGAGAGTCTGTGCACAAGGGTGGATGCTCTACATGTAAATAGGAGCAAAATGGCAACTTCTCAGACAAAGATGCTTTCATCTCAGAGTTCAGGACATAGAAACCAGAGCATCGCTTGGCACTCACTTACTTATAAAATATTAGAGTAATGAAGTTAAACAAAGCATCTTGGTTTTCCTGCCAAACCAAAGGGAAAGTCATTTTAACTAAGCTGGCTTAAATGAAACATGAGGAGCTGCTGCCAGCAATCTAATTCAGGACTCTGCATTTTCTTTTAGTTCATAACCTTTTGAGTGCACCCATTCACTCAGGCTAACTTTCCGGTGAGTGGGACTGTTAATTTCACTAGCAGCCTTTAAAGCTCAGTTGGCAAAGTTTATATTTCATCCCATTTTCACCAAGATAAAACCCTCCAGATGGGTGAAAATCTTATAAAATGGAAGAGGACAGGCAGATTTGCTTTCTCAACTACACGTATACACACACCCCCCTCACTGGTAGCAAAAAATAAAGGCCTATGATTCCATTCTGCATATGTAAGTTTGACCTTATAATGACAAATCAACTAGATATTCTCCCCATAATTCATAAGGATTGACATTTGCTGTTTTGAGAGCTCAAATAAGAGCATCCATTTTGCCTGAGGATAAATGTAGTACAGAACTGAATTTGTAAAATACAGCCTGACAACTGATGTTCAAAACCATCCAAAAAATGGATGGTTTTGAAGTTCTCAGTAAATATGTACACAGAAATTTATTAGGGAGAAATACACCAACCTGACTCTGCAGTCCAGGAATATGTCTCTTATAGATATTACCATCGAGTCTTGGTTCTGAAATGAAGTCTGCAAAATAAAAACTATAGCCAGATCATAGAATCAGAATAGTCAGGGTTGGAAAGGACCTTCAGATCATCCAGTTCCAACCCCCCTGCCATGGGCAGGGACACCTCACACTAAACCATCTCACCCAAGGCTCTGTCCAACCTGGTCTTGAGCACTGCCAGGGATGGAGCATTCACAGCGTCCCTGGGCAACCCATTCCAGTGCCTCACCACCCTCACAGGAAAGAATTTCCTCCTTAGATCCAATCCAAAACATTTTCATCTCTGCATGTAAATACTCATACTTGAGTGATTTGGAAATTTCTAAAAGCCTCCGAAGTTAAAAAGTTGGCAATCACATCAAATAATATTGCATGAACTCTTCATGCTGTGCTCAGAGCACCAAAAACTGATTGAATTTTAAATACATCTTGAAACATTTCAAAGAAGATTGGGCGTTCAAAATGACAACTTCAACCAGTTTGATTATACTGGAAAGTATTCCACTTGAGAGCAAGTGAAGCAACGGTCGGTTGGGAAGAATGGAGAGCAGCCTCAACTTGCTCCTCTCAGGTTTCGTTACAGCTGTGAATCTCCACTGGTGCTCTCTGGGCGGCTTGATGAGACCTGCCAGCTTTTCAAAGGTAACGTTGGTTACTGTGGGGTTTCACACAGAACAGACATTTTTGCATGCTTTGCCAAAGAAGCGAGGCACGTTTCCCTCCTGATGACTGAACTCACCATTTCTCAGGCTGATTTAAAATGAAATCCCCACGTTCTGTTTTGATTTTTTCAGGAGCATGTCCAAAGGTTGCAAACCAACACCAGGTTTTAAACTACACACATCAGTTGGACCTTTGCTCCTATAATTCTTGTATATCCTACCATCACAGCGACCTCCTCTAAGGAAGTTTATGGAACATCCCATTCTGATTTTGCTGAAGTTACAGCATACATGAAACCAATGGCATCTAAGGGAGGAAGGAAAGTGGGCTGAATTGGAGTAGGACAGCTAATATGACATATGCAAGTGCCATGTGGAAGCTGGCACCAAAATAATTTGAATCCGTTTGGCTATTTTCATATGTGTTTGTGTGGGCTGTTTCACGAGGGAGGGATGGTGCAAGCAGACGTGGCTCAGCTGAATTATAATCCTTGGGAACATGCAAGTACTTTGCACACAGGTTCACCAAACCAACCGACATAACTCATTCATTCCGATTTACAGGGCTAGAATGGCTCAGCACGCCCGAGTGAGGCTGGGGACCATAAGCCAGGTCTGACCAAGAGTCCAACCCATCAGGAACCGTGGTGACAAAGAAAGGTCCAAAGCGAAGCCAAGAAGTCAAACTACAGCTTGGAGTGATTGTGAGCAGAGCTGGACACAGCCCAGTGATCCCTGGGGACCAGGCATGTCTGAGGTAGAGCTGGGTCACCAGTCAGGGTCAATCAGCAGGGATCTGTGACTGGGCAGGGCCACAGCTGAGATGGGCTGGGACCAGTCTTCCTATGATGTAGCTCAGGGGGGACTTCGGGCGATGCTGATAACATCATTAATGCCTATCAGAGCCCTCTACTCCTGACAGGGGACTGCCTCGGCTGCAGAGAGCATTGCAACACACAGGCACCTTGTGAGCAAGTCTCCTCCATGGGGTAGCCTCAAAGAAAGCCCATCTTGTCCTCTATCAAGTCAACTGCTCTTCACAGTTATTCAAAAGGCTCAGAAACTTTTAAATCTGGAAAGAAGGAGCTTTAAACAAAGGCAGAGAAATCCCCTAGCTCACAGGTCATATAGGCAGGGACCAGGTGGTGCTCCCCAGGAAATCCAGAAGGGCCAAAAGGAAAAATAAAAATAATGAGTGTAAAAAGAAACTATTTGGCTTCTTTAAATACCACCGGGTGTTCAGAAATCATGTAGATGAGGCCCTTAGTGACATGGTTTAGTGGTGGACTTGGCAGTGCTGGGAACAGTTGGACTTGATCTTAAAGGTCTTTTCCAACCGAGCCGATTCTGTGGTTCAGGCTCAGCAGGAGTCTTGCACCAACATTAGCAGAGGAAAGGCACAGAACTTACCTTTATCTTAAGCAGGTTGCTTCTTCCTTGCGTCTTCCCCTATACAAGCATTCAGTGATTTAAGAGCACGAAAAGCGCTCAAAAGGAAGAGTTACCGTTATCCACCTCTGCCTGAAATTGAAGACTATGGCCTTGTCTCCAAGGGCGGTATTTTCTTTGGTTTTCTATCCACACCCATTTAAACAATCAGCTTCCCAAACAGTATTTCACAGAGTTGCAGCCCCCAGTAACGCTGCAATAAAAGGAATGACTTTCAGAGGTTTGGCGGAGTTTCGTTTTCTTCCTGGCTCGCTCACGGAGCAAGAGCGGACGGTGCTCACACATCCACAGGAGCCACTTCCTCAGGGACTGTCCCAGCTCTCTGGCTCCCGCAGCTGGCAGCGCCGGCTGAGCCTGCCCGTCTGCTCTTATTCCTGATGGACAACGCTCCCTCTTTGTTTCTTTTCAGAGTGAAAAAAAAGGTGTAAAATCCTAAGTTTGGGAATAGATAGTTTCACAAATTATTCAGGAGCTGTGCAGTATGCATAGGGCGCTGTAAGGGTAAAAAAAAGGGTAGCTTATACTAGCCCATTTACCTTGTACATGCATTTAATCCATACACAGCCTTGTATATGGGCCATTGAGAGTCTAGGTTCTTGTGTGAGGCTTTCTGCAGGCTGCAGCAGGGGGATGTGCTGTAACACTCGCAGGTTGCTGTAAGTGCAACCTGGTTTGGGTTCTTTCCTTCCCAGGGCTGAGCCAGCGACGTTCTTGACAGCACCACCCCACTGCACCACTTCAGGCCTTTCAGTTTGGCTCCAAGCCCCCAATGCGGCTGCATCCCTGCGTAGCAAACACCTTCCAAATAGCTTGCATCAATCAGAGGGAAGCAGCAGAGCTTCCTGCAGCTATTTCTGAGCAATTACTCATCTTTCCAGACCTTCCTTTAGGCTAGGTGCGGACTGTGGCAGTTGGAGCACATTACACAGCCTTGCATGCAGATGTAGCAATTAGGCATCCACAGGGCCTGAGCGTCAAGAGCCACCAGCCACACGGCTCAGGAGGGCTGCAGCATGAAATTGTTTTCCATCTGTACGTTATGCTGAGCCTTATTTCAGCATTCAGATGGAGAAACTTTTCTTAAAATGGACCATAAAAATGGTTTTTCTTTTGCTGGTCCTTTCCAAGAGTCCTTTACCAAGCACAGGCACACACACAGAGCGTTGCAGGTCACCAAGAGCAGCAGTTGGAATTTCCCCTTGAATCATAGAATCACAGAATAGTTAGGGCTGGAAAGGACCTTAAGATCATCCAGTTCCAATCCCCCTGCCATGGGCAGGGACACCTCACACTAAACCATCTCACCCAAGGCCTCGTCCGACCTGGTCTTGAACACTGCCAGGGATGGAGCATTCACAACCTCCCTGGGCAACCCATTCCAGTGCCTCACCACCCTCACAGGAAAGAATTTCCTCCTTAGATCCAATCTAAACTTCCCCTGTTTAAGTTTGAACCCGTTACCCCTTGTCCTGTCACTACAGTCCCTAATGAAGAGTCCCTCCCCAGCATCCCTATTGAAAGCACAAAAGCAGTGACTGAGGAAGTAGCTAATCATGACAGCAAACGGAACACACTGTTAGGTGAAACAAGTCTCTAAAGCAGTATTTCATGGAGCATAGCGCCCATTTACTCCCTGCACTTCTGCCCTGCTGGGTCAGGACATAAACCTTCCTTCAGCTCTACCTAAAACATGGAAACTTTCTTGAAACCCAAAGCCCCAAGTCAAAGGCTTTTTCCTTTTCCCAGGAACTGTAATTTCTTGTGAAAAGCAGAAAGCTCCCACTAAAGTTTTGATTTCCATAAGAACTCCCTTTCTCAGTGGGAAGAGCAGGTTCAAGCTGAATTTAAGCCACACTTTTCCCTTGGCAGTGATCTGATATGCTATAAACCCACATTACTCGGGCTATTTTTCTGTCAACAGGAAAGATGAAAAAATGTTCTTCCTGGACATAGCCATCTATTTCTGGGTAGAATTACCACTAGCACAGACCCTTCTGGAGTGCTCATCTGTTTAAAGGATGTGCAGGGCTGCCCAATACTAACACACCCTAATCTGTTCAGCACAGTCCAATTTCTGAAATCTGAGAAAGCAATCAATTTTATGGTAAAATATAGGAGTGTAAAAATCTGAGATTATGACATTTCATGCCTGCTCACGCTCCATTACTGGGAGACTGGAACAGTGAAAGCAAAAATCCTTCTTTGCTGATCACCAGTCCTACAATAAGGTGCGACATCTACCTACACAAATCCAGCAGCACCACTTTCCAAATGCACCCTAAGAACAAAGTAAATAATGTATTTTTCTGTTTTCTGTGCTAACTTTGCCTTCCAGGAACATGCAAAAGAATAAAGTGAGCAGAAAGCACCCAAATGTAAAACCCTGGTTACACTGGCTTGGCAGTCCAAAGAGGATCTAAAGGAATAATTTAATGTGCTGATCTAGTTATGAACCTTTGAACGTTGACAATGACTAGCAAACCTCATTGAAAACTGGTTGTTCTTTGAGAATAAAACCAACCCAAGGCACAGGGCAATCTAGTAACTGCGAGCTCTGGAACTCCTTCCTCTGCCAGTGTGAATGCCAGCAGCTTTATTCAGCTCTGGGAATGGCTTCAGGAAACAGGCACATGGCTCCACTTTGTCTCTACAGCAGCATCTATAAGCACTAGAAGTGTTTTGTTTGTAGGGTGGGAGCACATTTCTGTATCAATAAAGCAATCCTCAGCTACAAAGTTGGTGACTTGAAACTGCAAAGGGTGGGGAGAAAGGAAGGGGAGGGTTGTCCCACGGAGCAGCACTGTGTGAGGCTCAAAGAGCCAGGGGCTACCTGAGGATAACACATTCACTAATGACAATTCACAGTCCTTAGTAGCAAGAGCTAGTAAAAATTATTCACCCCCTATTAACAGTGTATTTATACGTACACATATACACACACCTCTTAAACCCATTGCTTTTGGCTTCACAACACAAACACACATGCTGGTAATTTAATGAAGCATCAGTCCCGGGAGACTGTTGGGCTGTTAGTGCCCAGGACCAGCAGAGCTGCCACCCAGTACTGGGTGGTGTCATCCCATTGTTCCTCTCACGCATTATACAGACAGGAAACCCTCTGGAAAACTGCCTTTCATTCAGCTTTACGTTTGCTCAGCTCCTTCTGCAGCAGGATATTGCCCCCAGCCCAACCTCCTGCATGGGTTGGGCACGCAAATACGAGCTAGCACAGAGCTGTTAGCAGTGCTCACCAGAATCCCTGTTTCTATTGTGGGAAGAATTACAGACTACCTTTTGTACAGCAGTTAATCTAAGCATGCAATTCTGAATAACCTGATTTTTTATTTAATAAACTAGCATTCCTCCTGCCACTGATTCCCTCATCTCCAATATAATGTAAATAACACTTTATACATTTCATTTTTATGGTCTCTCTGACTGTATCTTACGCTTTTCCTTCAACAACAAAACTCACTCATAAATAATAATACGTTTTCCCCGTAAAAGGAGGACATTTAGATTCTTTTTTCCTCCACTTTTTCAAATACCTTTACATTGCCTAGCAATTACCCGTTCAACTGGACTCCTGCTGTAACAGTGTTATTATTTTATTTCCTTGCACCTCTAAGGCTTGGAGGGAAAGAAACCCAGTGCAATGTATGGAACACCTATGAAACCAATTCTGCCAGTAAGGACAAGAGACCTGTGCACAGAAATCACACCAACACAGCCTTATTGCCGGGCAATGCTGCATGCACAGAGCAGCACAACTTTCAGAAACGAGTTTCCTGGCACTTCCCATAGAGAAACTGTCTCCTGTCCATGGGCCATTGTTGCGAACAGTTATGGATTTCAGGCCATTCCGAGCAGATCAGGCCTGGAATAACTCTCTATCCCCAGTGTTCGTGCACGCCATTTATCAGTACAGTGACTGAAAGCGTTCCCAGACACAGATGTCACACAGAGGAAACCCCAGGGAAATGTAGGGTGTCAGCTTCAGCTCATTGACTTCTAGGTTAGAAAGCATAAAATTAACACAAAACTAAAAAGCACTGTGCTGTTTGTCCCCACCCCAGTGATCTTCTTTAAAATACCCGAACAGGCATTCTTCAGTTTTAAGTAATCACAGATTTTCATGCTGATGTACATAATGTTTTAAGGAAGTCTTGTATCAGAGCATGATAATAAATAAATTGTGCTGAAAGTTCCTCTGATCACTGCATGGAAACACTTGCATGGACAAAAAGACATACTTAAAGCCAAAGCTTCACTGCTGTAGGCAGGACTGAACAAGACTGTAAGGGCACACAGCTAACACGTACCAAAATTACATGGAAGACACCATGATGCCCAGCCTCCCAGGCAAGATCGAGAGTGGCATTGACCTGGCAGTGGGACACTTAGTGACCTTAAAAAGCACTGCTGAGTCCTCGTGAGCCTCAAGGGGAGCCGGGTCCTATCCAACAGCTGGAGCCTCAACAGCATGTGCCAAAGCCTCAATAATAAAGAGTTTTCTTCCATCTCTTGCTGCAGCACCTCTCCGGCATAACAGAGCTGGGGGGGGGGAAGAATAAAAAGAGAAAGAAAAACAATGCTATTAATGTAGCTATAGAGACATTTATAAACCCAGCTCAGGAATGGAAGCTTCTTTGGAGCCTGTTGTCTCCTGCAGTACTGCCAAGAGGGGGGAATCGGAAAGGCCTGATCGTATTTGCTCTTCCACAGAGCAGCCCCTTTCTCCCGCGGGCTGAGCGTCTTTCAAGGAAACCAAACATTTCCCACCAGCAATAACGAAGCTCCTGCCTACTCGGAAGGGAGCCAGAGGAAAAGGCTTTGCAAGCACGCGATGGGCAGCCTGCGCTCCCGCACGGAGCCCGCACCCCGCGCTCTTTGTAGCCCCGGAGCCGCAGGAGCGGAGCCCGGGGTGCAGCCGAGCCGCGGACAGCGCTGCAGCTTGGGGTGCAGCCGAGGCAGGAGGCTGAGCTCGGAGCCGGAGGAGCGTGTGCGGGCTCAGCGGGGAGCCTCCGCCCCAGCCCCGGCCTTTATTCGCTGCCCTGGAGAATTTTCTGCCTAATTAACAGAATGGGTGGGGGGTTTCTTTGTCTTCCAGACCACCGGGTCGCAGACCAAAAGAGCTTCCTTTGCTTCTCCCCCTGACTTGATTCTGTGATCACTGCAACCGTCAGGAAAGCACTGGGCACGTTCTAGTCACCCTCAAAGCTGTATTTATTCACCTGCAATTCCAGATTATGCGTGTAAAGAAACCTACACCGGCTCTTAATGCCCTGCAACCTGCCAAGGAGGGCTCTGCAGTTTGCGCCGCAGGAGGGATTCAGCCCTGTGTCACCAAACAGGCACCCGCGCAGCAGGTCTGCAAGCCAGCAGTGGCGTGGGGAGTGCTGGGTGCTGGCATTTCCTCCTGGGGAAAGGCACAGCTAGGAGGAGGAGGGAAGAAAAGCAGCGTGGGGCACTGACACACGTCAGAGGAAAGACACGCCAAGGGCAGCAGCTTCTTGTAAAAGGGGCTGCAGCTGCTTTTATCTGATGGACCAAAGGGAAGACGCAATGGAAGGTCACTATGGAAAGACAAGATGGAAGGTCACCACTTGGCTGGGAAAACCGGGCGGTGCTTTAGGTGCAGGAAGCTGCCATGTGCAGGAGGACGGCTCAATCTCCGCAGCTCTTTCAGGAGTGTCTGCGCAGAGAAGCACAACCAGCTGTCCGCCCATCCTGCTTCTGGCTGTGTTGCTGCTGCTCCTTCACGGACCACACGCACCCGTAAATATTGAACAAGGCAAAAGGACCGAGGGGTTTAAAGTGCTCCGACAGCAGCTGTGCTGGATAAAAAGGCATGGAAGATGTTCTCACTCAGATCAGCGTAAATCAGAAGTACCCCCACTGACAAAGCGGCAGCGAAGTCTGCCTGGGTGAAGAAGGCTGGAATCGAGCTGACAACAATTAGGACTCTTTTACTATCTTTCTCCTCCACTCCAGTTGTTTACCTCTGCCTCCCCCTGCTTGCTCGCTGCTTTTGACATGTCAACTAGAACGTATTTGCTCACAGTCTCTTGAATCCTTTCTTCCAGAGCCTTCTTGAAATGTTCAGATTTCAGACAGTCATGGGGTTTTGCCTTTAGATTTCAAGCTCCTCAGGGCAGAGACAATGTCAAATCAGCATGAAGCACTGTGCATACTAATGAGGCTATACAAACAGTAACTGTACATATAGTTAACGCAACTTTCCCAATGCACATCCTTTAAGCATTTTGTAACCCCAAACCGCCAAGAATCAAGGGCAGAAAGAGCGGGGATATCCTGCTACTTCTGTTAGATTTTACAGCTAACAAAGTAATTCTTCTGGTGTGCCAAAGCATATTCAACTCAAGCAGGGCCATACACTGTGCTCTGTAATCAAGAGATCTTTCTTCCCTTCTGCCATGCTTCTTAAATCACTGCCTTCAGTCACTCACAATGTGCCGCGCCCTGGAAAGAATTAATAAGACTCCATAAGAAGGCTGTATTATTACAGCTCCTGGCAGTGGCCCTCCCTACAATCAGCTCAGTACAGGATTTTTTGGCAGGTATTTATGCTTAATTTTATATATACATGGCTATTTTATTGAGAACCCACATATAGTTGCTTGATATTTCCCTTAAGCATGAATGAACTTTGAACAGACACCTCCTCTCGTAGTGGGTGCTGTGCTTCTGGACTCAGCGCAGACACAGGGGACTGCAGCAGCTAGCACCCAGAGAATACAGCCTCCTGTTCCACAGGATGGAGAGAAGGAGGTCATCAGTGGGGCTGCACGAAGTACATCCCAAAATGACATCATGACTTTACATAGACATTTATGAGGACTATTTCATTGAAGACTTCAGAATGGACAGCTAAGGGCCACGTTGTTCACACACCTTCCTGCCTCCCAGATGGCAGACACTGAGCAAGATCTTGTGCTGCTGAGGTGGCCTTTTCTGCTCCCCCGAGTTCATCCTCCCAGTTTCAAATGTTAGTGCTTTAATGTCAGAATCCAACACAAGTCAGCAGTTCAAAGGTGAAAAGCATTTTACAATAGCATGAAAATCATAACAGTGTTCAGGAGGCTCAAAATGACTCATTTCCCAAGGGGAAATTACTGGCACTCTCTCTCCAGCAGCTCTGCTGGTGTCAGTGTCATTAAAAAGAGGGAGTGGGAAGACAGATAAACAAAGTCTTTAAAAGCAAATATGTTCTAACTAGTGGTTATCACTGCACTTAATAATTAGGGTACTAATTAAGAGGGTAGGTAACACACTCGCTATTAGCTGCTAGTAATTAGTGTTTTTTTTCTCTAGATAATAACAAGCTAAAAAGAAAATATAAAGACCTGAATCCATTTTGCCATTCACCCTGGTCACATCATGAAAACCTATTACACAAATTAATATTTATCATTAGCACCACAAAGCCATACTTTCATATTTTGCAGCATCGTGTCGCTCAGCATTTCAACGTGTGGATTTTTTACATGCACAGACTAGACCTTGATGATGTCTAATGGGATTACTGCACAAATCAACTCCTTAATCCAGCCAGCCTTAACACTGGCACAACAAGGTAGCTAAGAGATGCATTCACACACAGATGATCCAGAGCAAGGCAGGATAATGCTGCCTTAGCAGGGAGAAAGCGCAGAGAAAGGCTTTCTGAGAGCAGGGTAAACATTTCTCAGAGCAGTGTTCTCGTAGGTGGGAGACCTGGATTTAAATGCCTGCAGCTAAATCAGAGAGGGAGTGAGGCTGGATTGTCTCGTATACTTGCCAGGTTGTGCTTGAGGATAATTTACCCCATGATTTACAGTCCTTTTCTCTGTGACACAGGGTTTCCCCTTAAACCATGGCCCTGCAAATGTTGTAAGTGGAGAGCAATGGCCAGGTCCAGCTGTGTGACAAAGGAGGGGGGTGATTTCCTTATAGGACCCAGCACAGGCTGACCTGCCCCTGCCTTGTGGTCTTCTGTGCAGTTATAGCCTCAGTGGTGATCAGACAGCAAAAACCGATCAAAAGTGATGCTTCGTGGATATCCTTTAAAGCTGCTACAGGCGAGCCCATAAGCAGGGGGTATCCAGTGGGGGTAGCTACGCAGCCTTTTGGTTGTTAGCAGGAAGGAGCAAACCTCCCCATCACCCTCCACTTACTGTGCCTCTGCTCACTTTGCAGAGCAGTGCTGGAGTGCAAGAGCTGCGCCCCTCGGTGTTAAGCTAAACCTGAAAAAGCATGTGAGTTGTGCACTTCAGATGCTGGCCACTGGGACCATACCAGAGCTTGTGGGAAGCTGCCCCATAACAACATGAATGGTGTGGATGTGGGTTCCCAGCATCTGAGGTCTTACCTCCACATCCATGGCACCACAGCGCTTACTGATGGAGATACAGCCAGGGATATAACTGCTCAAAAAGAACCACGACTCGGGAAAGCAATTAGCCATATGGTTGCTTTTGACTACTTATGCAGAATAGAAGATGCTTGAATTATGTGAATTGGGTTAAAAGTAACTAAACAATAAAGAATTTGAAAATCCATGCATTTCTGATTTTATGGAGAAAAATGATCAGATGACTATTTGCTTGTACATGTTGCTTTCTTTTGCTGATTTCAGAGGGTTTATTAAGATGATAAAAATACTTAATGCTGAGCTACATTCTGTGTGCTCACTTTGAAAATAAATCTTTGTGTGGGTGTAATTTAGGCTGTGGGTAGACTAATACTCTGGGATTTGCCCATGGATAAGAATATCCATGCAGCTATATTAGTTACAACAAATCAATAATTTCAATGTAATAGCTTGCTAAAGCACCTCTTTTTTTTTTACTAAAAGATATGTCAAGTTGCTATGTCACTGGACACAACGTGGAGGGGTTAGGACTGAAACAGAGTCTTGTCTGGGAGGGGGGGGTAGAAGACAACAGCCACTCTAGCTACCTAGGTCACAGAAATGTAATGCAAGACAACGAAGAAAAGTTACATCTTACATTGCTTTTAGACTTGCCTCCTACATGCACCTTCTCACACACTGGTAGAAGGCATAGGAACGGTTCTTTCCTTGACTTTTCAAAGAAAGAACCCCAAACCCGAGCCCTGAAACAATGAAATCAAGAGTTATTATCTGCTAACATTGCATCCCTATGCTCTCATACGTTGCCATACTGTTTTACGAGCAGACACGCATACGTGCGCACACACTGGGAGAACAGGGTTAGTCAACAACCCCACAGAACTAAGAGCAAATATGAGCTTCTTAGGTTATTTTTTTTATATATAATTTGTATTACTTAAAATGCATCAGTTGCTAAATTTGGAATTGTTGGTGAGTAAACAGTAGGTAGCGTTATAGAGAGCCACTCTTCATAAAATCCTAATTATCCCTTTCCTATTTGTTGTGACATGCCCTCGCACTCATTATGGGCTTGGACGGGTGCCCAGCCTTCGAAAATGCAAAGTAAGCACAAGAGGTTTGTGTAAGCTCCAGCTGGTTTCTGTGCATGGCTGGGACATTTTGTGAAGCTGCTGC